GCCGGTACTCTATTAATTAATGGTTGGAAGAACTTGGTTCAAACAACTATCCTTTATTGTTGAATGGAGAACTTAAGTTTGCTATTGTAATTTTTTGACAATAGCACACCCACACAATTTGTACATCTAATTTCATTCATTGTCATACAAACTATCACCTTCATAAAATCAAATCTCAACAAATAATACACATTTCATAATTATATCTCTTGAATAAATATAAATAACTTTTAAATAATTCAATAATATAGAACATCCCTCACATCTAATAAACAATCATATTACACATATATCTACTTCATTCGATAAAATCTATCTCCTCAAGAACTTCCCTATTTATTGTCAAACAATTACAACAGCAAACTTAAGTTCTCCATTCAACAATACAGGATAGTTTGAACCATGTTCTTCCAACCATTAATTAATAGAGTACCGGCATATAAGTAATGTTTTATTTATTTACTAATTTATTACAATTTAAAAGACTATTTTATACCAATTTGTGGGTCTTACCTTGTCTGCTTAAACAGCTCATTCATTTTGAAAAACCACAGACATGTAATATTGTCATAATTATTGTAATTTATATCATTTGTCTTTGTTTATCTTTATAAGACAACACCCTAATATGGGTTTTATTATTTCAGCATTTAATTAACTTTGTATAGAGACTTGAAGATGCTTTGCATATTGTAGAAAGCGAAACCGGTAATCTAGATAGTTAAATTAAACTGATTGTGAGTAAGTCTTATTTATTGTTTCTTTTACCTATTGTTTTTTTCTTACTTGGTTGTAATTTTGAATATTTGCATTTTTTTCTTTATACGTTAATTTAAAAATCGATTAAAGAAACTAAGGTTTTTACTACACAACAACTCCTTCCACCCACACAGCACTTTTGGTACCAGATGTAACGATGTAGCTAAATGCCATCGTAACGCAGACATATTGGTTTTCATTGATGGTTAAACAAGACACCGAAGCCAATAACGAGTCGTGTCACGATCCTAATTATTTTATCAATTAAACTTTCATAATTAGTACTGTACATCCGGTATACTACACCAAGAACATTTTAAACAAATCTAAACTTTTTAATTTTATCAAATACGTAGCTAGACTTTATTTAGTATTGAAAATGCAAGGAAAGGGAAAGAGTGAGACTAATAAATCTTTAATAAGTGGTCATTGCTTGGCTTTGTTTATTATATATTATTTTTTACAACGAATAAGCTATAAATGAAGAGAAAATCTGTAAATTATTATTATTTATTATTAGAAGAATTGTCAAAATGTCTCGGTTGCTCACTAGTATGGGCGTCAATTTACCGAGTGGACAAGGTGGTCATTTTTATTTGACAAAAAATTAAACTCTTATCGTTGTCGCATCGGTACTCACCCAAAGAAAAATTGTACAAATATGGGCAAACCACTAACATACTTAACAGTGTATTCTCTATACTTTGCGGATGATTAAGTGATCATCGCACAGGACTACGAAGGCCTTAATTATATGGATGCGAACACTATTAGAATCGCTGGAATCGCTTAAGGAATGGCGTCTGGAGACTGGAGATAATTATAGAAAAGACAAAGAACATGAATATTGGAGGAGATCAACATAACTTAGTATTATGAAATAGAAAAAGATCAAGAAATAAAACCCTATAACACGAAGGATAAAGATAAAATATTATGGCACACTAGACAACGCAATTAAGGAAAGAAATATAATGGGAAGGAAAGAAATATTCCTACTGAAAAGAATATTGTGGTATAACCCGACAAGCGAGAGCTGGCGGGTTGCGTGTAGAACAAATTGAAAAGTGGAAGGGATTGCTCATTTCTATTGCAGTCGACTAGGAGTTCACATTGTGTATAACTGTTTAAGTACCTATACTATATACCTATAATCGCGATTAAGTACCTCTCCTATCTCTCTTAGAATAATTACTTTTTTATTTTCGCGCAGCTCACCCGCCAGCTCTCGCTTGTCGGATTATATAGAATATAATATATAAAGAAAATATTTCTAAAAGATTTAGGCATGTAACGATGGATATTGCGTAGTCGTATTTTCTATCGTTAAATTTTGTTCTGCGAAATCAAACTAATAGCTCGAAAACATATTTTGAAAAGTAAGTAAAAATCTATGATTGTACTCTTTCTGTGAAATATTTATAAATATTTCCGAAAACTCCGAATTATGGAAAAACATAGAATTTTTTAGAGAAGTCACATGTAAATTAGAATATTTATGAACCACATTTTGCAAAACAGAGTTACCACTGAAACAGAAAATAAAAATATTTATCGCCGTACACTCACGCGTTCTTTTATATAATTAGTGAATACATTTTTTCGGGAAATATTTTTGCTTGTTATTTACATTATGTATCACAAATAATGTGGTTGTTATTTATAATATTATTCAATGGAAATATTTTTATATAGTTTTGTAAAATAAATGTTTAATAATATAAAGAATTTTTATAAAAATATTCGTATATTAACCCTTAACTGGTGACCCTATTTTTAATTACATAAATGGGGACCATGAGTCTGACAGACTCCTGGCTTAAAAAAGCGTTTGCTCCTCTATAACTTCTAACATTCGCGTGCTTGCTTTCCACTAGGACGTAGTTGATTTGGTAGCGTGTTCTACCATCTGGAGCAATCCATGTTTCTTTATTTTTCTTTGTGTTTCTTGATTTTCTTGTGGTCAAAGTAAGTATGCATCTATAACAATTTTAATATTATATTTTGGAAAATGATTATATATAAGTTCAATCTTATTATATAATTCCTGTTTTACATTCTGGTCTTTTTTCTCGAAGGATCATGCACATTTATTAAACTTAATTAACCTCTTAGTCTCAGCCTATAAATCCGTTCAGATATTGGCTTGAACTCCACTATCATACTTTCTTCTTCTTAGAGTGCCATATCCCTACGGAACGTCGGCGACTACCATGCTTATAATATTATTATATTGATCTCGGTCCTGGGCTACGTGTAGGTATTGGTCCGCTGTTAAACCTGTCTACTGCCGCAAATTCCTCAACCAAGAGAGTTTCTTCCGTCCTATCCATTTCTTTCCTTCGATTTTACCGTTGAGAATTAGCCGAAGGAACTCATATCTTGGTCCTCTGATTATATGTCCAAGATATTCTAGTTTATGCCTCTTAATAATATTTAATAGAGTTCGTTGATGTCCCATTCTTCGGAGAACTTCTTCGTTTCTGGTTCTGCTAGTCCATGGAATTTTTTATAATCCTTCGATACAACCACATCTCAAACGCCTCGATTTTATTCATGATATCGGCGTTTAAAGTCCAAGTTTCACATCCATACAAAAGTACAGACCACACGTAACATCTTGTAAACTTTTCACGGATTTCCAAATTTAATGAGTTATTGGATAATAGAGACTTGAATTTTTGAAATGAGTTTCTTGTCTGTTCAATTCTACATAGAATTTCGAAGGATGGATCTAGATTTTGGGTAATCCAACATCCAAGGTATTTGAATCTTTGAACTCTCTGCAGCGGTTGTTGGTTTAATATCAGTTGGGTTGCGCCGATATCCACTTTACTGGTCACCATGTATTTAGTTTTATCGATATTTATCGACAGTCCCCAATTTGTGCATTCCATGTCAACTCTATTGATTATTATTTCTCCTCCTATGATAATTCCTTTTTGATCTTTTAAAGCTTCCCTAAATAGATTCTCAGAATACACCTTAAAGAGGGTGGGAGATAGTATACAGCTTTCTCTTACGCCTCGTTCAATACTGATTGGCTTTGATTCTCTGTTGTTGGTATTAATAATGGCTGTTTGGTTCCAGTAAAGTTTGGCAATAAGTTTGATGTCTTTCTCATCTAGTTGGATGCTCTGCAAGGCGGTAATTAGTGTGGTATGCTGAACGCGATCAAATGCCTTTTCAAAATCAATGAAGCACATATATACGGGTTTTCTTACCTTCCAACATCGTTGAAGGAGTGTTTACATAGAAAATAGTGCTTCTCTAGTTCCAAGGCATCTCCGGAACCCGAACTGCTCTTGACTAATTATTTCTTTTCACTTGTTGTTAATTCGGTTTAGAAGAATATGCAACAGTATTTTAACGGCATGGCTCATTAAACTAATGAGTCTACAATCGCTACATTTCTTAACGTTTGGTTTCTTAGGTAGAGGAATAAAGATCGATTTTAACCAGTCCGATGGAATTTCACTGGTATCATATATTTGATTGAAAAGTACAGTGAATTCTTTTATATTGTCGTTTGAGAGTAATTTTAGCCATTCGCTGTATATTTGATCTGGTCCACTGGCTTTGTTGTTTTTGGCTTGGTGTATGGCTTTTTCCACTTCAGCTTTTAAGATTGATGGTCCTGTATTTGCACTTAAGTTAGGTAGTGATCCTCGATCATCCTTAAATAATGCTTTAATCATACTTTGTAACCAGTTATTAATTATAAAACCCATTCCCAGCATTCGGTCTTCTCCACCACTACTGAAAAAACTGTAGTTGTTTATCATTGCTACACTAGTTTTGTTTTGTTTCATTTCTTGCATTACCAGGATATCTACTTTATCTTGTTTCATCACTATATGTTTTATGGCGTCTGCTCCATAAGTACTTCTCACGTTCTAGGAACTTATCCGGATTGTGCTTGGATGACATTTATTTTTCCTTATTTTCTTTGTTTCCTCTATTTATAATTTCTCCATGTTCTCCTTCATTGCAATAGTTCCATTATCTTTTGATCCATCCCTGTTCATCGGCTCTAGTTTGCTGGTGGGTCTAGCTCCCCATCTCCATTCTCTGCCATCTATAGTAACTTTACGAAATCCCCTTTGTACCGTTTTACCTTCTCTTCGGGCCTCTTGTGCTTTTTTCTTTATTTTCTCTTGCATTCTTTTTCAATTTTTATTGCTCCCAGCAATTCCCAGTTGCTGATTTAATCCCTACTTGTATTTTTAACGTTTCCTCTATCATTTTCCCATGGTTGATTTCAGCTCGTCCGACTCATCAGCGTCTATATCCAAACCTGTTACGATCACCTTATCCTTTTTCTTCTCTTTCTCTAGGTATTTAAGTCTGGTACTTAATACTCGAACTTCCTTCTTAGTCTGTTCACTTTCCTTTCTAATAGCTTTATTTTCTTTCTTCAGCTTCTGATTTTTTGCCGTAAATGTCATATTTACACGATTTATACGATTTTATGCTGACGCCAACTTAACATTTTCCATTGGAAAAGTGTATTTTTTTATATCTAAAGTTTTCTATAATTTTATAGATGTTTCCAAAAATATCATGTAAATAAGTTTGGTACAAGGGTCCCATTATTAAGCGACAGAGACAAGAAGCTTGATTTAGAAGGAAAAGAAGATAGAAAATGTAAAAAAATGACAAGAGAAACCAAGGACAACCGTCTAACTCTAACTCATGACACGATTTAAAGAGAAGCACCACAGCCCCACGTGGCTACGATGAATGAACTGTTAATTCTTCTTCTTCTTAGAGTGCCTGTGCGTTCCGAACGTTGGCGATCATTCTGGCTATGATAACTTTGTTGGTAGCTATGAATAGCTGTGTTGAGGTCTTTCTATTTCATGCTCTCAGGTTATTAAGGCAGGATATTCTTCTTTGTCCTGGGGCCCTTTTTCCTTTAATTTTACCTTGCAAAAACTTAGCTCAAAAGCCTAAAGTTTTGATAGATTTTCCGCCTTCAATGTCCACGTTTCTACTCTGTACAGAAGCACTGAGTACACGTAACATTAAGGAGCCTTGTTTTTGTTTCTAGGGTAATGTCATAGCTCTTAAACGCAGAGCTCATGGTCAAGAATGCACCTTTTGCTTCTTTGATGCGCCATTTAATCTCTCGGGTATTGTCCCACGACTCATTGATTATAGTTCCCATATAGTTGTACTGTGAGACACGTACCACACACAATTCTCATTTGATTCACATACACAGATTTGCTTCAGTTATGTTTTTCTCACTGATGATCATTAACTTGGTCTTGCTGGTGTTGATATCCAGTCCATATGTTCTACTAGTTTCCATTATTTTGTTCATTAATTTTTGCAGCCCTTCTATGGTATTGGAAAATACTATTGTATCATCTGCATACCGCAGGTTATTTAGCTTGAGTTCATTTATTAAGATGTCTTCATCAACCTCTTTTAAAGCCTCATCAAAAATGTGCTCCAAATAGAGATTGAATATCAGTGGTGAAATTATGCACCCTGTCTCACTCCCCTTAAGATTTTGACCTGATCTGTATATTCTTCATTCATTCGGAGCACCGCTGATTGATTCCAATACAGGTTAACTATTATTTTTAGGTCCCTTCTGAGCTTCCGTCAATCCCTGTCCTCTTCAGTGCTTTCATCATTTGTTCATGCCTGACTCTATCGAAAGCCTTTTTGTAGTCAATCAAGCATGCAAAAACATCACAGCTGACATCTCTACATTTCTGAAACAATACCTGCACGATAAATAAAGCTTCCCTCATACCAACGTCGTTCACAAATGCAAACTGACTGGGCGCAATTCGTTCCTCGCATTTCCGTTAAATTCTTTTGTGGATGACTTTTAAAAACAGCTTCAGCGGATGGCTCATTAAGCTTAAGGTTTGAACTCCGATTTGAACCACTCTAGTGGTATTTTTCCTGCCTTGTATATTTCATTAAATATTTCAGTTATTATCTGATAGCTTCAGCAGTTCTGCAGGAATTTCATCAAGTCCCGGTGTCGTCCCATCCTTCATTAGTCTGACTGTTAATTCACTTATTCCTTAACTTTGGAGAATTTCTGACTGATTTGTATAGTCAGTAGAAGAGCTTCCGTATGCACTTAAAACTCACTTGAAACCCCCCGTATACTCATAATATACATTTTTTTACATTTACTAATCAATTATTAATTATTATTTGTGAGAAGTATTGGTGTATCGTAGTTTACTAATAAACATTTTTTTATCAATTAAAAGTTGCCATTTCATGATTTCATAATTAATTTTTATGAGTATTTTATGGCGTTGTTAATATTTCCATTGTTAAATGACTAATTCAGAAGAATATAAATTTTTTTGTGGTCGGTAACAAAAAAGTTGTTACTATCGAACGATCCAGAAAAATGACATTCATTTGTAAAAGTGATACATTTCAAAACAATAATATACAAAAAAAAATCGAATTAATTTCGTAATTACCAACTCTTCTAGCAACAACTGAATGTAACATTTGCAGTATTTTTAGATTGCTTCACGTTTTTCTGTCGTACTATTTCTCAGTATTACAGATCAATAACAACAAGGTAGGATTAATCGATAAATACACATACTTGGGTCATGAAATTAGAATAACCAGAGACAACCAAACCTGCGAGCTAAATAGACGAATCATGTTGGGATGGGCGGCATATGGACGGATGAGAGACATTTTTAAAACAAATATCCCAATTCACCTGAAAAGGAAGGCATGCATCTTACCAGTCTTGACCTACGGAGCAGAGACCTTAACTTTAACGAAAGCTACTGCCGAAAAACTCAGGGTAACACGAAGGCGAATAGAGAGATCAATGCTGGGCCTGACCTTGAAAGATCGCGTAAGAAATGAGGAGATACGCCGACGAAATGGCGTAGACGATATTATACTGCGAATCAATAAACAAAAGTGGAGGTGGGCTGGACATGTTGCTAGAATGGAAGACGGAAGATGGACGAAGAGATTATTGGAGTCGAGACCAAGAGCCGACAAGCGAAGTCGAGGCAGACTGTAATAAAAGAAATATACTATTTTTAATATAAATGAAAAGAAATTGGCAGAACGATGGTTTAGAAACCAGAAAAAGGATCTAATATTTCACTTTGTTAGTTTTAAATATTTGTTTGCTTTGCGTGGATGTACTCTTAAAAGTTTCGAAAGTAACGGGTATAACATACCAACTATTGACAGTTAAAGTACCGAGTCGTTACAGAGTAAAAAGTAACGAAAATTTACATACAGTTTCATATATCGCCGACTGATTTTAATTTTAAAAACGTATTCTTCTGTTAATTATTCGTCTATTTCATTTTTTCGTTTTAGGGATATCGCTGTGCATTTGTCTAAGAGAAATAATCTGTACTTATGTGTATATTAGGAATGCCATATAAGGAACAAAATCATTACAAATAAGTAGAGGCGTGAGACAGGGTGATACAATATCACCGAAACTTTTCAATCAGGCTCTTGAAGATACTTTTAAAAGATTAGAATGGGAAAAAAAAGGTATAAAAATTTGTGGACAACGCTTGAACCATCTAAGGTACGCGGATGACATCGTATTGATAACCGATAAAAAAGAAGAATTATTTGAAATGATGAAAGAACTGGACGTAGAAGCTGGAAAGATAGGCCTTAATATGAATTACAGCAAGACCAAAACTATAACAAATACAGATGAAGACATCACAATGAGAATCGGACAAGATGAAATAGAACAAGTTAAGGATTATATATATCTTGGTCAAACTATAAAACTTAACAAAGAGAACCAAACAGCAGAGATCAAGAGATGAGTTAGACTGGCATGGGCGGCATTTGCCAAACTAAGCTACATTCTTAAAAACAAAAGATATCCACAGCATCTTAAGACCAAAGTATATAATCAATGCGTACTCCCTGTTCTTACGTATGGCTCCCAAACGTGGACATTTACAAAAGCAAACATGGACAAAATCATAAAAACCCAAAGAGCAATGGAAAGACAAATGTTGCACATAAGACTAATGGATAAGAAGAGAAAGGAGTGGATAAGAGAGAAAACAAAAGTGAGGGATGTTAGACAAGAAGTTGCAAAATTGAAATGGAGATTTGCCGGACACAATATAAGACAAAAAGAAGACCGATGGAACAAAATTCTTATAAGTTGGAGACCGTGGGAATATAAACGAAGCAGAGGAAGGCCCCAAATGAGATGGGCAGATGATATCAAGAAGCACGTGGGTTCTAGATGGATGACCGTAGCGACAGACAGAGAAGAATGGAAAAGGATTGGGAAGGCCTATGTCCAAAGATGGACCGAAGAAGGCTAATTAGATAGATAGATGTGTATATACTTTCTTAAGGAATATATTATAACCTTTCGAGACTGGCTGAATGACGAAAGTCTATGCCATAAAAAAAATTTAAAAACCATCCGTATAGAGGTGTCCGGTGAGGAGAGGTGCCGTTAAGAGAGAGTTTAGTGTAGTGCATTTGTTTATTGAAGCCAAAAATGCCGATACTTTTTAGTTATAGACAACTTTATATTTAATGTACTTTCTCATTGTAAAGTTCTGTGAATCTGATGGTTGATGATAGTTTTAGGAGGTTAGGAGAATTAGAGAATAAGTAAGTTTTTTTTGTTTTTTTAATACTAATTGAATATTCGACTAAATAAATTACACTATTTAATCACCTAAGTATTGTTACACTTCGTTTAAATTACTTAATTCAAAAACCAACTTTACTACAATACAATAGTTTACAATACTAAACTCAATGATAGTAATTATTATATACAAAATCTGAATTACAACTGTTCTATAAACTATTAACTCTATATTTATATCATGACTTCATATTTAAATCTAAGGTTTATATCTGTCATATCAGTATTTTAAAAATGGGGAGAATTTATTGTACAATTCAGTACATTGGACCATTTAAATCGATACCTTAAGCAAAATTTAAAACAGTCGTATATTCGTTGAATGGAGTATAAATGAATACTACAAGTCTGAGTAAGAGTAAGATTGTTTCAAAGTAGTTCTTACAAGGGAGGTGCTTGTAAATTTAAATTTGGTTGCATAAAACATTTTTAAACATGCCGTACATTTTTCACGGTACATGTGCTTGTGAGAGGAATATTAATTTCCCTCTTATAAGTGGGATATTACGATCAAAAATTTCTGTAGGGCATTGATATATTTAATTAATATTGATGGTATTGATATATTAACGTTTTGAGGCCGCTCCCGTATAAAAAAAATGTTTCTGTTTTGGTTTCTTTACGGATTCCTGTTCAAAAATGTCCCCTTTAAACAAATCTGAAGGGTGTCCTGCATAAAATTTTGCATCTTTCGAATAATCAATAAAAATCTCAAATCCTCGTCACCGACAAGTATTTCACTGCTGTTGGGCGTTTTAGAAGAAAACGAGGCGTCTA